TAATAATAATAATAATAATAATAATAATAATAATAATAATAATAATATATATATCTCCTCATTTGCACTCTTTTCCTGCTAGAGCAATTTTGATCCTTGCCAGCTTTTTTTTTTCTCTCTCTCTCTTCTTCTCTTCAACATCCGCAAAACAAATTAACCATCCTTCTCGATTGAGGTTTGGAGAGAAACCTGCATGACAAATTAACTTGCCCGCGAACGTGCTTCTCATCCCAAGCAAAGAGTCAAGAGTTCACTCTGCCCATCCAAGCCGGAATGAGTGACTTCGCACCTACTGTTGGAAGCCATGAACAGCAATGTTGATCATTACAGAGAAGGAAGAACCCGGGGAAAAGGAGAGGCTTGGTTTAATGAGCCACAAGAGGGAGCCACGGGCTGGCAGAAATGAGATAAATGTAGATGCTTTCAAATTAGAATGCAGAGGTTATGGCGATAGCAGTTCAAAGGACTTGAGCTACTTCCCTGCTTGCATTTAAACAGGTACAGCTGCAAAAAAAGGACTAGGCTTTTTGTAGAAATTAGACTTAATATTTCTGCTGGAAAATGGCAATGAGCAATGGACAACCTCAGAAGCATTTTTTTCTACCCTTCTTATTACTGTACCTGGAGGTCTCCCTAGAGATGCGGGAAGAACTTTGGTTGGGCATAGAGTCATCATGATTAAGACTAACATCATATACATGTTTGCTAACAGTCTATGGACTTTGTTTCTTGTTAGTTACAAAGTTATGTCTGACCCATTGCGACCCCATGGACAACGAGCCTTCCTGTCATCTACCATCTTCTGGAGTCCATCTAAGTTTATGCCAACTGCTTCAGGGACTCCATTCAGCCCCCTTCTTCTCTGCCATCCCCTTCTTCTTCTTTTGCCTTCAATCTTTCCCAGCATTAGGCTCTTCTCCAGAAAATCCTTCCTTCTCATTAGGTGGCCAAGGTCTTTGAGTTTCATCTTCAGGATCTGGCCTTCTCAAGAGCAGTCAGGGCTGATCTCCTCTAGGACTGACTGGTTTGATCGCCTTGCAGTCCAAGGCACCAGAGTTCAAAGGCCTCCATTCTTTGGTGCTCAGCCTTTCTTATGGTCCAACTTTCATAGCCATACATTGCAAATGGGAAAACCACAGCCTTGACTATTTGCACTTTTGTTGGCAGGGCGATGTCTCTGCTTTTTTGGTATGCTGTCTAGATTTGCCATAGCTTTCCTCCCCAGGAGCAAGTATCTGTTTCTATGGTACATGTAAACCTTGTCCTTGCTTCTAAGTAGGCATGTTGGCCGGACAATATAGAGGATGGAAGCTTGTTAAAGAGAGATCCAGCCTAGAACTAAGGAGAAATTTTGTGATAGCAAGAAGAATGAATCAGTGGAATAGGTTGCCTCCCAGAACTGTGAGTGGTCCATCACTGGAGTTTTTCAAAAAAAAGACTGGATAACCATTTGACCAGGATGGTATAAAATTTCTGTCTTGTCGGAGTAGAAGAGGTCCCTTCCAGCCCTATGGTCCTATCTTCCATCTTCTAAAAATTGCACCAGTGGTTCCAGGGAGTTATATTTTCTTTCCTAAGTATGACTGATTCCCTTTCTTCACCCTTATGAGCATCCTGTTGATGCATTAGAATATATTTCCTTAGTTCCTTGATCCATGCAAGTGGATCACATCTTAATGGGTGCTTCTAATTGCTGTTCAGTAATGTTTTTGCTTCATTGCTTTCTTCATCACCTTGGGATTTTTTACAAGGAAGGGCAATACATAAATAAAACTATGGTTATTATCACTACCCCGCTTATTATTCAATAAAAGATTATAAAATTAAGCTGGCAAATGGCACATCCTTAACTAATTAGCCCCCCTTTAAATAATTAAAAGGTAACCCCCCCATTAATCAATTAATTATTTTTCAATGTATGTCAGTCCAAAATTGATGAAGATGTAATCACCATCTTTGAAGAGATATTGCGGTGCTACACTCTTTCTGTTCAGCCCAAGGGAATGATACCATGATGGCTAATAATGGGAATCTGGTTTCTTTCTGAAGCCACGGCAGGAACCACAGTTACTGCTTGAACAGCATGTGGGGGTTGTGCCCTAGAGGTGTCTTGACCAACTTTTGCTGGTTTTGAGTTATGTCTCAA